CCTACCACAATTACTCTCTCCTTGGTTCAAAGGCTCCTATACATTCACTTAACATCTCCCAAAATCTCTCTCCCCTCCTCTGCATTCCTCTCTTCTCACAGGTGCATACACGCTTATTATGACCCACTTCTCGCATCCAACCTTTACTTTAATCCACATAATTCTTGAATTTACACATTCATATTCTCTTTTCTCCTTCCATAACTGATCATTCAACATTACTGCTACCCCTTCCTTTGCTCTAACTCTCTCAGATACTCCAGATTTAATCCCATTTATTTCCCCCCACTGAAACTCCCCTACCCCCTTCAGTTTTGTTTCGCTTAGGGCCAGGACATCCAACTTCTTTTCATTCATAACATCAGCAATCATCTGTTTCTTGTCATCCGCACTACATCCACGCACATTTAAGCATCCCAGTTTTATAAAGTTTTTCTTCTTCTCTTTTTTAGTAAATATCTACAGGAGAAGGGGTTACTAGCTCATTGCTCCCGGCATTTTAGTCGCCTCATACGACACGCATAGCTTACGGAGGAAAGATTCTTTTCCACTTCCCCATGGACAATAGAAAAAATAAAGAACAAGAGCTATTTAGAAAAAGGAGAAAAACCTAGATGTATGTATATATATATATGCATGTGCGTGTCTGTGAAGTGTGACCAAAGTGTAAGTAGGAGTAGCAAGATATCCCTGTTATCTAGCGTGTTTATGACACAGAAAAAGATTATGTAGAGTAAAATAAAGATTGGATGTGAAAAGTGGGTTATAGTAAGTGTGTATGCACCTGGAGAAGAGAGAAGTGTAGAGGAGAGAGAGAGATTCTGGGAAATGTTGAGTGAATGCGTGGGGAGTTTTGAATCAAGTGTGAGAGTAATGGTGGTTGGGGATTTCAATGCTAAAGTGGGTAAAAATGTTATGGAGGGAGTAGTAGGTAAATTTGGGGTGCCAGGGGTAAATGTAAATGGGGAGCCTTTAATTGAGCTATGTGTAGAAAGAAATTTGGTAATAAGTAATACATATTTTATGAAAAAGAGGATAAATAAATATACAAGGTATGATGTAGCACGTAATGAAAGTAGTTTGTTAGATTATGTATTGATGGATAAAAGGTTGATGGGTAGGCTCCAGGATGTACATGTTTATAGAGGGGCAACTGATATATCGGATCATTATTTAGTTGTAGCTACAGTTAGAGTAAGAGGTAGATGGGAAAAGAGGAAGGTGGCAACAACAAGTAAGAGGGAGGTGAAAGTGTATAAACTAAGGGAGGAGGAAGTTTGGGTGAGATATAAGCGACTCTTGGCAGAAAGGTGGGCTAGTGCAAAGATGAGTAGTGGGAGGGGGGGTGTTGAAGAGGGTTGGAATAGTTTTAAAAATGCAGTATTAGAATGTGGGGCAGAAGTTTGTGGTTATAGGAGGGTGGGGGCAGGAGGAAAGAGGAGTGACTGGTGGAATGATGAAGTAAAAGGTGTGATAAAAGAGAAAAAGGTAGCTTATGAGAGGTTTTTACAAAGCAGAAGTGTTATAAGAAGAGCTGAGTATATGGAGAGTAAAAGAAAGGTGAAGAGAGTGGTGAGAGAGTGCAAAAGGAGAGCAGATGAAAGAGTGGGAGAGGCACTGTCAAGAAATTTTAATGAAAATAAGAAAAAATTTTGGAGTGAGTTAAACAAGTTAAGAAAGCCTAGGGAAAGTATGGATTTGTCAGTTAAAAACAGAGTAGGGAATTAGTAGATGGGGAAAGGGAGGTATTAGGTAGATGGCGAGAATATTTTGAGGAACTTTTAAATGTTGAGGAAGAAAGGAGGCGGTAATTTCATGCACTGGCCAGGGAGGTATACCATCTTTTAGGGTGAAGAAGAGCAGAATGTAAGTGTGGTGGAGGTACGTGAGGCATTACGTAGAATGAAAGGGGTAAAGCAGCTGGAACTGATGGGATCATGACAGAAATGTTAAAAGCAGGGGGGGATATAGTGTTGGAGTGGTTGTACTTTTGTTTAATAAATGTATGAAAGAGGGGAAGGTACCTAGGGATTGGCAGAGAGCATGTATAGTCCCTTTATATAAAGGGAAAGGGGACAAAAGAGATTGTAAAAATTATAGAGGAATAAGTTTACTGAGTATACCAGGAAAAGTATACGGTAGGGTTATAATTGAAAGAATTAGAGGTAAGACAGAATGTAGGATTGCGGATGAGCAGGGAGGCTTCAGAGTGGGTAGGGGATGTGTAGATCAAGTGTTTACATTGAAACATATATGTGAACAGTACATGTGTATTTAGATAAAGGTAGGGAAGTTTTTATTGCATTTATGGATTTAGAAAAGGCATATGATAGAGTGGATAGAGGAGCAATGTGGCAGATGTTGCAAGTATATGGAATAGGTGGTAAGTTACTAAATGCTGTTAAGAGTTTTTATGAGGATAGTGAGGCTCAGGTTAGGGTGTGTAGAAGAGAGGGAGAATACTTAACGGTAAAAGTAGGTCTTAGACAGGGATGTGTAGTGTCACCATGGTTGTTTAATATATTTATAGATGGGGTTGTAAAAGAAGTAAATGCTAGGGTGTTCGGGAGAGGGGTGGGGTTAAATTATGGGAAATGAAATTCAAAATGGGAATTGACACAGTTACTTTTTGCTGATGATACTGTGCTTATGGGAGATTCTAAAGAAAAATTGCAAAGGTTAGTGGATGAGTTTGAGAATGTGTGTAAAGGTAGAAAGTTGAAAGTGAACATAGAAAAGAGTAAGGTGATGAGTGTATCAAATGATTTAGATAAAGAAAAATTGGATATCAAATTGGGGAGGAGGAGTACGAAAGAAGTGAATGTTTTCAGATACTTGGGAGTTGACGTGTCGGCGGATGGATTTATGAAGGATGAGGTTAATCATAGAATTGATGAGGGAAAAAAGGTGAGTGGTGCGTTGAGGTATATGTGGAGTAAAAAAACATTATCTATGGAGGCAAAGAACGGAATGTATGAAAGTATAGTAGTACCAACATTCTTATATGGATGTGAAGCTTGGGTGGTAAATGCAGCAGTGAGGAGATGGTTGGAGGCAGTGGAGATGTCCTGTCTAAGGGCAATGTGTGGTGTAAATATTATGCGGAAAATTCGGAGTGTGGAAATTAGGAGAAGGTGTGGAGTAATAAAAGCATTAGTCAGAGGGCAGAAGAGGGGTTGTTGAGGTGGTTTGGTCATTTAGAGAGAATGGATCAAAGTAGAATGACATGGAAAGCATATAAATCTATAGGAAGGATGGGTAGGGGTCGTCCTCGAAAGGGTTGGAAAGAGGGGGTAAAGGAGGTTTTGTGGGCGAGGGGCTTGGACTTCCAGCAAGTGTGCATGAGTGTGTTAGATAGGAGTGAATGGAGACGAATGATACTTGGGACCTGACGATCTGTTGGAGTGTGAGCAGGGTAATATTTAGTGAAGGGATTCAGGGAAACCGGTTATTTTCATATAGTCGGACTTGAGTCCTGGAAATGGGAAGTACAATGCCTGCACTTTAAAGGAGGGGTTTGGGATATTGGCAGTTTGGAGGGATATGTTGTGTATCTTTATACATATATGCTTCTAAACTGTTGTATTCTGAGCGCCTCTGCAAAAACAGTGATAATGTGTGAGTGTGGTGAAAGTGTTTAATGATGATGAAAGTATTTTCTTTTTGGGGATTTTCTTTCTTTTTTGGGTCACCCTGCCTCGGTGGGAGACAGCCGACTTGTTGAAAAAAAAGAAAAAAAAAAAAGAAAGAAAAAAAAAAGTTGGGTAAGTTTAGATTTAGAAAGGGCATAGGTTAAGTACATGTACTGGTTTTCTAAGAGAGTTGTGGATGTGTGGAACAATCTTCCCAGTAGGGTGATAGAGGTTAGGACCTTGGGTAGCTTTAAGAAGAGATTGGACAAATATACGAGTGGGAGGGGCTGGGTTTGACTGGTGTCATTGGGTATGGGAGTTAATTCTTGAGTAGCTTTGGGTAGAGGTCATTTTGATAAGGACCTGCCTTCTGCAGTGCTCCTCCATTCTTATGTTCACTTTCAACTTTCTTTACACACCCTCCCAGACTTGTCCACTAACCTTTGCAACTTCTCTTTAGAATCTCCCAAAAGCACAGTATCATCAGCAAAAAGTAACTGTCAACTCCCATTTTGTATTTGATTCCCCATAATTTAATCTCATCCCTCTCCCCAACACCCTAGCATTCACTTCTTTTACAACTCCATCTATAAATATGTCTATCTCTGTCTCTACCTCACAGGTACACATAAATACAGTTATACATAGTGTAAATTACCTAGGATAACCCCCAAAAATCCAGACACAGTGCTATACTATGCTTGTAGATATAAGGGATAATAAGCATGACTGGCAAGTGTGACTTTGTCAATGGTCCAAGTCGGACCGAAACGTCGTCGTAAGCTTCTCTCTTTTATGTGCGGGTTATTTGTGTATCGTTCCAGTCACGGTATTGTGCCTTTTTGTTATTTATTTATTTATTTACACATTTTCACTTGTTCAGGAATCAGTCGTGATGACTCTGCATCATGTGTAATTCTTGTTGGTTCATGAGTGGCTCTCTCTCTGAGACAGAGAGACAAGTAGAGAGAAGAAAACAAAAACACAGACAGAAAGATAGATAAGCAGAGGCAGAGATAAACATAGACAGAGCTAGACAGATAGACAAATAGATAGAAACAAACAGATAGACATAAACAGACAGACAGATATGTTTATGTGTAACAGTGAAAAATAAAGCCAAGGCAGTGCACAATCATCAAATGTCACTCCACTGCTGCACTGTCAGCAGTGGAGTGACACTCATCTTACACCGTGCTGCAAGGAGTTTCACATATACTCCAGCATTTCTAAAACATTGCTGGGACCTGGCAAAAAAGGAAAAAAGTAATTTCTTATTTATAAATACATTTTTCTTATTTAAAAACACATAACAAAAAAATTGGAGTGGTTTATTTGGAGGGCTGGAACGAATTAATGGCATTTCAATGAATTTCAGTGAGGAAAATTGATTTGATACATGAGCACATCGAGTTACGAGCTCAATCACGGAACAAATTAAACTCGTAAGTCAAGGTACCACTGTATATGAAAATAACATCTTTGATAGTCCTAATTTATGTTACTATGCTGAAACTCAATTTCATATTTCAAATTCTGAATATTACTCTAACATTACATTTTGACTACATTAATTTTACCTTAATCAGTTTTACAATAATTAGAGAAGCTTGTGGGTTTGTATTTATTTATAGAAAAATACTAATCATGAAAATCAATATAAAGAACTATTTTTCTCCCTAAGAAGCCCTATACAAACCCACCTTGCGACCTTCTCTGGTGTTTGTAAAATAGCATATGAGAAATAAACATTTACAATGCCTGCATATGTAAATAATGCAGGTTAAAAAATCTAAACTCATGATATCATAGCAGCTGTACTCAATATCACCTGGATTTACCCTGTAAATATGTTTAAATGGCCAACAAATAACAAATTTTACAACTAATTCAACACACATCACCTAAAATCCTAGTCTTCCTTACAGCCTCCACGTTACTAATTTGTAAATAGTATCTGAATGAAGGAATGAAATTTCAGTTTACCTAGATATTTACATTCTAATCCTAAAATAAGCAATACTTACCATTCACCTGATATTATATACCCAGTCCTTTTTTTTTTGGCAAGGTGAATCTAGTTGATTTATTCATACAAAACTTTCAGGCAGGTTCCACCATATATGCACCACCTCTATGCATATCTAACACATCCACTTTTTGAAGAATCATTGTTTATTCTTCTTAGACTTCCAGCATTAATAGCATTGCTCTTGGGAGCCATATTTAATATCCAGGTATATAGTAGAAATAATTTGTATAAATGGTTTAAAAAATTGACAAGTATCTTTATTCTGGAAACATTCTGCCAGCCAGTGGCTTCTTCAGTCCAATACAGAGAAGAATGGTGGAAGATGAGGAGTCTGAAGTACTGTAATCAGTACTTCAGCCTGGAGTCGATGTGTTCAGCATATGTGCAGAGAAGGAGTTTATATGCTGCAGACAAGTGAAGTGAAGCAATGGCAGATGGCATCACCAATGGAAAAATCATCTAGTGAAAGTACTGAGAGCATGGTAAGCATAGGCATATATAGTCATGAATGCACATGACAAGAAGGCATGAGAAGCAAACCTGTCTTGTCAGGTCAGGAGGATGGTGCATGTTCAGGGGCATGTGAACCAGGGAGGCCTACCAACTGGAAACCTCGTTGGTTCTGGGGTGATGGTGTCTGTGGAATGAATTGAGTCAATTCAAGGTGCTTTCTTCTGTTCCTTTGTTTTTCTCAGACAACAATGCTCGCCCTAGGCCAATCCATGTGATAAGCCTATGTTATGATGCAAAACACAGGCAATGTTGGTGTGGCATGCAAACATGGACAAATCCCTAGCTGTCTCACACAAGTACTCTCTTTAGACTTGAAAAAGCTCATTCTACAAGCAAAACGCTTCAAAGGTACCAACCTGCCGTGGTGTCTTTTGATCAGTGTGTTGGTTTTATACAATCTCATTCCCAATTGAATGCTAATTTAACTTTTAATAAAATCCATTTTTTATAGTGGATAATTTATGTTTTTTTTCTGCAATATCAAATACAATGATCATTTTTTTCTGTGAATATTTCATTAGGTCCCAATTCAAATGGCTGTTGTGGCTTATGTCTGCTTCATCTAATTTGTCCTTTTTTTTTATAAACACAAGATCACATTTTGTATTTCAGTAATTTTGTCATTGTCCTTGATTCTCTGTACTTTGCTTTTTGAATACTTTTATTCGTTTTGCTTCATTTTGATCCTATCTACTGTTTGTTTTTTAAAGTTTTTTCTTTCTCCCTCCTTCCATTTATATATTTATTTATATTATTATTACAATAAAAAGAGCACTAAACCTATTTATTTATATCTTTATTGGTTCACAAGACATTTCTCTTTTTTTTCTTTATGCGTCTCCAACACCTATTAAACCATTATTTATCTCATTGCCTTTGAGAATGAAGTACTACAGTATATAATGAACTAGTCACTCAGTATAGCTTGCAGAGTTCTTCTGAGGTTCAAGTTCTTGGTCCTGCATTTGATTTTTTGTGTTGGCTACCTTCATGTGGATTTACCATATTTTGTTTAGAAGCCATGAATTGTGTCTGCATATTTTGTAACGCTCTCTTAAGCCTATTCCAGTTCTCCACTGCGCTGAGACTTAACAAAATACTTCCTAACATCATTAAGAGTCATCTATGTGTTCAGCTACTGGTTGTGACCATCCTGGTTGTGCCTTCGATTAACATGCTGTTGTTTACCTTGTCTATTATTTGGAGTATCTTGCATGTTATGATTATTTTCCCCCCCATCCTATTCTAGTGCTGCAAAGTCTAGTTCATGCAGTCTGACTCTGCAGCTTTTGCTTTTTAGTTCCCACAATCTGCTGTCTAGTATAGCAAGGGTTCACAAGTATCATAAAATGAATATTGCTAATACATATCTTAAATAATTACAGTACAATAATATAAAATAATACCATCCTACAATAAAAACATACATGACTACCAAGCAGTGTATTGCACATTAACCCATAAACAGTCCAAGCAGATCTACATTCACATGTGTAGTGCTACAAAAGTAGATCTAAGTTTTTTTTACACATTGTCAAATGTAGAAAAACAAAAAGAAGATCTACTTTTTTTACATACTTTCAAATGTTGAAAAAACGTATATATACATTTGGACCGTTTACAGGTTAAATTAGGAAACCAATATAAAATACAGTGTATTGTATACTTTCACACATGCCATGCTCCAGACAGGCTGAGAATTCTCCTACCCCAAACTCTTCTTACCAAGATGTCAATCTTTGCACTATACTGTTCCTGACATACTTGACTGATCAGCCAGGGAAGATACATATAATATATGTCCATGTTTCCAAATCATATTTTTGTTTTTCCTTTTGGGCCACCCTGCCTTGGTGGGATATGGCCGGTGTATTTAAAGCAAGAAAGAAGTTTGCAAATCGTGCAAAAGCTGAAGCTATGAACTGAGCATAACTAAGGCTTTAGTAGGGCTTTATTAAGAGAGAGAATTATGAAACATCCTCACATTCCTGGATATTAGGATATGATTGGTTTATATATTTCACAAGTCACTAACATCATTCACAATTCATGGGATCCACAAAATGAAAATTAGATGACATTTAGGTCGAGCCTGGATTTAAGACAAGCAGTTGACACTGTAAACCACAACATCTTGCTACTGGAGCTAGAGCATTAGTTTTGTACACCAGCATGTGACAGTCAATGACACTGCTTCATTAACTTAAACTATTAACATATGGGTTCCTCATGTGGTGTCCTTGTTCCACTATTATTCCTAATCAACATCAATGACCTCCCAAATGTCTCTATGGAACTTAACCAGTTCCGTCTGCAGATGACACAACATGTCATATTTACTGCAGACCCTGTTGTCCTCAACAACATATATTGTCCTCAACAACATATGTTGTCCTCAACAACATATATTGTCCTCAACAACATATGTTGTCCTCAACAACATATATTGTCCTCAACAACATATGTTGTCCTCAACAACATATGTAGTCAACAAGGAGCTCATAAAGATTTCTACCTGGATAGTAACTAACAAATTTACTCTCAATACTGACAAGAACTACTATATGCTGTTTGGGAATAAAGTTATAAATACCCACTTCAACATAAAAATAAATAATTCATACATAAACAAGATAAGGGAAAATTCTTAGGGATGACCTTGACTGACCTCACATCCAACACGTATTCAAGAAAATTTCCAAAACTGTGGGCATTCTGTCTTATAAATTTGCATCTTTGTTCCCCAAAATTACTCACTCTTTACTACTCTTTAACTTATCCTTACCACACTTGTATTATTTGTGTTTGGGGATTTACTACAGTAAATCACCTATAACTCATTATTATCCAACAGAAATCAGGTGTTAGAATAATCACCCAATCAGGTACCAGACAACACACCTCAATATTCAGGTCTGAACTTATCGCACTCCAGTATTCAGGTCTGAACTTATCACACTCCAGTATTCAGGTCTGAGCTTATCACTGAACATACAACACATCCACACTTACTACTGTGCACTTTATATATACAGAACACTTAAAATGAATGTCAACCCAGGGCTCTGACTCTTCCTGGAGAGCTGCAACAGAAGATATAGACTTCTTTTCTTTCAACACAATGGCTGTTTCCCACTCAGGCAGGGTAGCCCAAAAAGAAAAACAAAAGTTTCTCTTTTTAACTTTAGTAATGTATACAATAGAAGAGGTTACTAGCCCCTTGCTCCCGGATTTTAGTGGACTCTTATTACACGCATGGCTTACGGAGGAAGAATTCTGTTTCATTTCCTCATGGAGATAAGAGAAAATAAAGAAGAACAAGAACTAGCAAGAAAATAGAAGAAAACCCAGAGGGGTGTGTGTATATATGCTTGTACATGCATGTGTAGTGTGACCTAAGCGAAAGCAGAAGTAGCATGACATACCTAAAATCTTGCAAGTGTATAAGACATAAAAAAGACATCAACAATCCTTCTTTCAACGCACCAGTCATATCCCACCAAAGCAGGGTTGCCCAAAAAGAAAAACAAAAATTTTTTTTTTTTTAACTTTAGTATTGTATATACGAGAAGGAGTTACTAGCCCCTTGGTCTCGGCATTTTAGTTGACTCTTATGACATGCAAGGCTTACAGAGGAAGAATTCTGTTCCACTTCCCCATGGAGATAAGAGGAAATAAAAACAAGAACTAGTAAGAAAATAGAAGAAAACCCAGAGGGATGTGTATATACATGCTTGTAGATACATGTGTAGTGTGGCCTAAGTGTAAGTAGAAGTAACAAGGCATACCTGAAATCTTGCATGTTTATATGAGACAGAAAAAAGACACCAGCAATCATACCATCATGTAAAAAAATTACAGGCTTTTGTTTTACACTCTCTTGGCAGGATGGTAGTACCTCCCTGGGTGGTTACAGAACATACGAACACAATATAAAAAATGAGTCTCTCTTTTTTCCATGGGGAAGTGGAAAAAAATTCTTCCTCTGTAAGCCATGCAGGAGCAAGGATTAACCCCTTCTGTATACATTACTAAATTTAAAAAGAGGAACTTTCATTTTTATTTTTAGGTCATCCTGCCTTGGTGGGATACAGCTGGTTTGTTGAAAAAAGAAATACAAACAGGTAGCTGAGGTAGACAGCCTAATATAAAAAGAACAAGAATTAGGACATTTATGAATGAATTTAACATTTACAGTGTGAGATTAGTGAAGGTGTGGAACATAAAAGAAGAAAGGTAGCAGAAGGGGATTACAGTACATACATGATCTAGAAAAATGAGAGAGCTGGAACTGCAGATTAAAAGGCAGGGCCAAGGTCTGAAGCCTAACCACAACAAACAAGTGTGCACTGTTTCCAAGTTGTTTAAGCCATGCCATGCTAACAGAGCCATTACCTTGCAACTACTCAATGGGAATGGGGCAATTACACTGTCAATCTAAAGCACTAGTATTGTACATGCATATGAAAATATGTACAAAAACTAACAATAATTATGATTAAAATATTTCAATTAGCTTTTAGGAACACAATATGGTACTAGCTTCATATATTTTTGGAATAGTAGTTATATATAATTAAAAGCATATATCATAAATCTCCTTAAACTAGAAACACAGTATATGGAGCATCATTAATCACTTAATGCTCGAGAGTAAGCTCTGACAGAATTCTTGACATTTTTATACTCCATATAGGGACACATCAGTACAATTTAAATACATACAGCATAAAAATTGTATACTGAATATTTTCTTAACACTGAGTATTTCCCATTAACTAGTGTAAGTCTCAGTATTGGGGTAGCAGCCAAGCAAGAACAATCTTCCTAAGAGAATTTTTAATTATAAATGCTTTTATAAATTCGTTTATGCCTGCACCTTCATGGCAAATTGTCAAAACTAGTGAGGATCTTTTTGAAAACTGGTATAACCCTTTCAGGGTCGAGACCCCTGATCTGAACCTTGCTCTCAGGGTCAAAAAAAATCTTATGAAAAGATAGAAAATCTCTTTCCAAAGATAATGAAACCAAGAGTACAAAATTTGATGGAAAACTTAGGGAATTATGCTCTCACAAAATTAATGGTATCAGCGACATTTATGCATCGGCAATTTCGCCCACATTGTGCCCTCTTTTTGGCCAATTTCATTGCTCCAGTTGACCAAACTCATAGCTATTTTGCCAGCATTCCTTCTATTTTATTGATTGAATACAAGAGATCACCCATTTACCTAGTTCAACTACCCAATGCAGTGATCAGAAATTGGCAATTTGGCCACTTTCACACAAAATTTAAAAATTAAATTTAAAAATGGGGTCCAGAATAAACAATGTAGACATTCTTGGCACTAAAAAACCATTTCTTCTGTTCCTTAGTCATGTCTCCAGGCCCCTCTTATATTACTCTTGTTTTTCATTTTGAATTTTTATCACACAAAAAATAGAAAATTTACTGTTATTCAGACTGCTGCATTATTGTAATAATTATATAAACAATCTTGGTACATTCCTAAATGCGTCTTAGACTGGCCAACTGGACAAGTATTGGACAAGTAATGTCATTTGTGTACTCTAGAATATCAGTAAAAGTTGAACATTTCTGTTACTTTGAGCTCAATTTCAAGCTACAGGTACCATCCGACTTACGGCTGAGCTTGGTTCCGACCAACTGGTCGTAAGTTGAAATGGACGTAAGTTAAACCTTACTACTGAATATCAACATCACATTTTTGTAATGACTTTACTTAATTGTTTTATTTTGGTATTTCATTTTTTACTTTACTTTTTATGCTGTTATTACTGTATTTTATACTGTAAGGTTTAGGACAAACACTGTGTACAACACAAACAGTTGTTTATTTTCCAGAAATTTGGCATACAAAACACGGTCATAAGTCGAGTGGTCGTATGTCGAGCAGGTCGAAGTTAGATGGTAGGTGTACTTTCAGTTCTGGAACCAATACAAATCATCACTATTTCTGTAATATATCCATTCTATCCAATGAAACCAAGAAACCGAGAATACAACCATAAAAAACCATACAAAAATACACTGCAATGTCGCTGTTTTAAACTTAAAACACTGTCACAGTTTTTTCTCATTATGCACTGCATGCTTCAAGAATTTTTTTTATATGGTGCACACTTAATGCACAGACCCATTCTCACATACCTAGGCCAAAATTTACTGCTCACAGCTTATCTAAGTGAGATGAGCTCATGGTGTAGTGCACTGGGACCAACCCTGGTGTCAAAGCCGTAGTTCAACAGGACCAATACCGAAAGGGTTAATTTTGATATAAAATTTTCAGAACTAATAATGCTCTACTGTACTTTAAAATTCATTTAATATTTTTCTTTTAAAAATTAAATAAAAGCCATGAATTCGAATTAGTAAGTAGAGGAAGTATATTCTCCTACAGTTATCTATTGAATATTCTTCCAGGATATTTTTGCAACTTACAGCAAGGTTTGTACACCTGTTCCATTCTATAATGTGAGGTTAACATTGCTTAGCTTATAACATAAGAAGACCTATTTTAATCACCTTTTTTTTGTAAGCATTACTTTCTCTTTGGTAGCAGCGTTTAGATCATGAACTTTTATACCCAGGAGGATTAACATTTGGGGTATTTTTTGCCAATTGCAGATACTTGCCTATTATGAGTTCTGATGTTCGCATAAATTTAAAAGGAACACCAAATTCCTTGCATGTTTCCATGAAAACTGGGTAGATGTAAGGAAGCTTGGAATGATCGACCGTGGGAAAGAGATGATGCAGACTGTGGTCACCGAAGGAGATGGATACGAGAAACAAGTTTCCTGTAACTTCCACCCTAAGGGAGAAAAAATTAACAGTAGCAATGAAATAAAAAAAGAAAATCCAAGAAGATACATCTGTATGACAAAGACTGATTTACATTATTGATTCACTACATGGAAAAAGCTTTTTGGGTAAACAAACTAGTTGTAATATTAAGAGAACATAAAAATATATTGCACATACTGCTGTGTATATATACGTATTTTTTTTTTTTTTTCAACAAGTCGGCCGTCTCCCACCGAGGCAGGGTGACCCAAAGAGAAAGAAAATCCCCAAAAAGAAAATACTTTCATCATCATTCAACACTTTCACCTTACTCACACATAATCACTGTTTTTGCAGAGGTGCCCAGAATACAACAGCTTAGAAGTATATACATACGTATAAAAATACACAATATATCTCTCCAAACTGCCAATATCCCAAACTCCTCCTTTAGAGTGCAGGCATTGTATATATATATATATATATATACATCTTTCTTCTTTCTTTCAACACACCGGCCGTATCCCACCGAGGCGGGGTGGCCCAAAATGAAAAGCGAAAGTTTCTCCATTTACATTTAGTAATATATACAGGAGAAGGGGTTACTAGCCCCTTGCTCCTGGCATTTTAGTCGCCTCTTACAACACGAATGGCTTATGGAGGAAGAATTCTGTTCCACTTCGCCATGGAGGTAAGAGGAAATAAACAAGGACAAGAACTGAAAAAAAACCCCAAGGGGTTGTTAATTAAGCTTGCATGTTGTGTATTTGGACCTAAGTTAAGTAAAATAGCAAATGTCCAAAAATCTGCATGTTTATGAAAAAAAAAAAAAGGGAAACCCAAAACCCTACGTCATGTAAAACAATTACGGGTTTTTGTTTTCACTCATTGGCGGGACGGTATACCTCACTGGGTTTTTGTGTCTCCAAACCTACTACCTAGAATAATTATTATATAAAAATTTATATATATATTGTAGGAGAGGTTGGTAACGCAACCCCCCGGGGAGGTATTTTACCGTCCTGCCAAGCGAGTGTAAAACAAAGCCGGGTAATCTTTTTTAATGAGGGTGGTTTTGCTGGGTCTTTTGCTCTCAAAAAATGCAAGATTAAGGTAAGTCTTGCATTTCTACTTACACTTAGGCACACTACACTACTGTCAAGCAATATATACACACCCCTCTGGGTTTTCTTCTTTTTTCTTTCAAATTTTTTGTTCTTTTTATTTCCTCTACTCCAGGGGGAAATGGAACAGAATTTTTTCCTCGAAACCCATGCTTGTCTAAGGGGCGACAAAAATCCCGGGGAGAAAGGGGGTGTAACCCCTTCTCCTTATATATTACAAATTTAAAAGGAGAAACTTCAGTTTTTTTTTTGGGCCCCCCCACCTCAGTGGGATACGGCGGGTCGTTGAAAAAGAAGAAAATATATTTATATATAAATATATATTTTATATTTATATAATATATAAATATTTTAAAAATTATAAATATATAATATTAGTATAATATATAAATATTTACAATTTAAATTATTATATATATATATTAAAAAATATTTATATATATAATCAAAAACCTTAACTGTTTTGCATGAGGGAGGATTGCTGGTTTCTTTTTCTGTCTCATAAAACGTAAGAAACGGGGATTCTTGTTTCCCCCCTTTACATTTTGGTCACCTTCCAGACCCACATGCATATATATAATACATACATCAGGTTTTTTCCTTTTTCTAAATATTCTTGTTCTTTTTTTTTTCTTCTATTGTCCGGGGGGAAGTGGAAAAGAATTTTTCCTCCGTAAGCCATGGTGTCGTATGAGGCACTAAAAGCCGGGGCAAGGCAGAAACCCCCTTTCCCTGTATACAATTACAAAAAAGAGAAGAAGAAAAACTTTATAAAACGGGGTTGCTTAAATGTGGTGAGTAGGGGGAGACAAAAACAAAAGATTGCTGATGTTTTGAATGAAAAAAGTTGGATGCCGGGCCCCTAAGCGAAACAAAGCTAAAGGGGGGTAGGAGAGTTTCGGGGGGGAAATAAATGGATTAAATCTGAGTATCTGAGAGATTTTAAGCAAAGGAAGGGGTAGCAGTAATGTTAAATGATCATTATAAGGAAAAAGAGAAAAGAATGGGGAAATTCAAGAATTATGGGGATTAAAGTAAAGTTGGGATGCGAAAGTTGGTCATAATAAACGTGTATGCACCTGGAAAGAGAGGAAACAGAGGAAGAGGGGAGATTTTTTGGGGGATGTTAAGTGAATTTATAGGAGCCTTTGAACCAAGGGAAAAGTAATTGTGGGAGGGGACTTGATGCTAAAGTAGGGGAAACTTTTGGAGGGTTGGTAGGTAAATTTGGGGGTCCAGGGTAAATGATAATGGGAGCCCTTTGATTGAACTTTTTATGAAAGGGTTTAGTTATAGGTAAACATATTTTAAAAAAAAGAGGAAAATAAATATACCGATAAAAGATGTAGGGCGAAATGACAGTAGTTTGTTGGATTATGTATTTGGGAGATAAAAGATGTTGAGAGACTTCAGTGTACATGTTTTTAAGGGGCCACAGATAATCACTTTCTAGTTGGTACCGAGAGTAAAAGGGAGATGGGGGTACAAGGAGAATAGAAGCTCGGGAAAAAAAGAGGGAAGGGTTTTTAAACTAAAAGGGAGGCAGTTTTGGGGAAGAATTAACGCTATTGGAGGGATGGGCAAAAAGAGCTAGGAATGGGGTGAAGAGGTTTGGGGGGTTTAAAATGTGTGTTTTGGTTTTCAGCAGAAGTTTGTGGTTCAGGAAAGTGGGGGCAGGGGGGAAAGGGAGCGATTGGTGAATGATGATGAAAAAAAAGTAGTAAGGGGGAAAAAAATTAGCTATAGAAGTTTTTACAAAAATAAAGTGATGCAAGGAGGGGGAAAGGGAATGGAGAAAAAGAAGAAGTTAAGAGAGTGGTGAAGCAATGAAAAAAAAGAGCAAATGAAAGTGGGTGAAATTTTTCAAAAATTTTTTTTGAAAATAAAAAAAAGTTTTGGGGTGAGATTTAAAAAGTTAAGAAAGCCTAAGAAAAAAGGATTTTTCAGTTAAAAAAGGGGAGGAGGTTTTTAAAGGAGATTAGAGTATTGGGGAAAATGGAAGGGAAAATTTTGAGGAATTGTTAAATGTTGATAAAAAAAAGGGAAGTGTATTTTGTGTTAGGGCAAGAGGAATAAAAACTTTTGGAGTGAGGAAGAGCCAGTTGTGAGTTGGGGGGAAATTCTGAGGCAGTAGGTAAAATGAAAGGGGTAAGGCACCGGGTTGATGGGAAAAGTAGAAATGTTAAAAGCAGGGGGGGGATATTGTTTTGGAGTGGTTGGGGCAATTTTTTAATAAAGTATGGGAAAAAGGGAAGGTACTGGGTTGGCAAGGCAAGCATATTCCTTTGTATAAAGGCAAAGGGGTAAAAGAGAGTGCAAAATTATAGGGGGGTAAGTCGTTGAGTGTACCGGGGAAAGTGTAGGGAGAGTTATAATTTAAAGAATTTAAAAGTAAGACGGAGAATAGGATAGCAAGAACAAGGGGGGCTTTAGGAAAGGAGGGGGTGTGTGACCCGGTTTTACAGTGAAAAATTTTAAAGTGAACGTATTTTAAAAAGGCTAAAAGGTCTTTGTGCATTTATGGGTTTGGAAAAGGGATGACAGGGGGTAGGGGGGCAATGTGGCAATGTTGCAAGGTATGGGGTAGGAGGTAGGTTACTGAAAGCATGAAGAGTTTTACGAGGATAGTGAGGGGCCCCCAAGTTAGGTATTAGGAAAAAGGGAAATTTTTTTCCCCGAAAAGTAGGCTTTGACAAGGATGTTGATGTCACCAGGTTGTTTAAATATTTTTAGATGGGGGGTTTAAGAGAAGTAAACGAGGGTCTTGGCAAGAGGCTGAGTTAAAAGATAAAAAATCAAACAAATGGGAGTTTTCAAGCTGCCTTTGCGTAACTGTTCCTTTGGGAGATTTGAAGAGAAAATTGCAGAGATTGGGGATGAATTGGTAAGGGTGTCAAAAGAAAAAATTAAAAGGGAATACAGGGAAAGAGTAAGGTTATGGGAAACAAAAAGATTAGGTGATGAAAAATTGAATATCAATTGGAGGGAGAGAGTATGGAGGAGGTGAACGTTTTCAATTTTGGGGTGGATGTCGCAGAGGGGGTCTATAAAAGAGAGGTAATCATAGAATTGAAAAAGGGGAAAAAAGGTGGTGGTCACTAGGAGTCGGGAGACAAAGAACTTTGTCCTTGGAGGCAAAGAGGGGAAATGTATAAGAGTATAGTTTTACCAACGCTTTATATGGGTGTGAAAGCGGGGGTGATAAATGTTCAGCAGGAAAGGCGGGAGGCAGTGGAGATTCAGTCTGAGGGCAATGTGGGTGTAAATAAAATGCGAGAATTCGTATTTTTGGAAGTTGGGGGAGGTGGGGGGTTTACAAACTGTTGTTCCGAGGGCGGGGAAGGGTTTTTGAGGTGGTTTCGGACTTTAGAGAGAATGGAGCGAAACAAAAATGCTCAAGAGTGATCAGTCTGTAGTGAAGGAAGGCGGGGTGGGGGTGGGCCCCTGGGAAGGGGTTTTGGAGGGGGGTAAAGGAGGTTTTGTGTGCGAGGGGTTTGGGATTTCCACGGGCCCATGCGTGAGCGTGTTTGATAGGAGTGAAGGAGAAAAATGGTTTTTAAATTTGACTGCTGTTGGGATGTGAGCAAAGAACATTTTAAAGGATTCAGGGAAACCGGCGGGCCGGCGGGTTCCTGGAGGGGAAAAGTACATGCCTGCATCTGAAGGAGGGGTTTTAATGTTGCATTTTAAAAAACTGTAGTGAAGCCCCCTTTTGGGCAAGACGTGATGGAGTGAATGAGGTAAGTTTTTTTTTTTCGGGCCACCCTCCCTTTGGGTGGGAATGGGGCCGGTGTGATAAAAAAAAAAAAAAAATAAAATAAAAAATATTTACAGGTACCTCCGACTTCAACCGATTTTCGTTCTGAAAACCGGTCCGTAAGTCGAAATGGCGAAAATCAAACTT